GCTCGCTCACAACTTTAACGCCGGTAGCTCACAAAGCAGAATTTTTGCTCACAAGACTCCACAGCTTAGAGGGAACATTGGCCATGGTGACGAAAGGCAAACTTCCAGAGTCAGTGGCAGCAGCTCTCCGAACACCAGTGCCTGGAGGCAGCATCTGGGGAAGGCCTTGATGAACCGGGATGCGGGCCTAGGTGTCCAGTTGGCGATCCAGTAGGACTCATCACATGCTACGTTTCAGAGATCAACAGGGCCCGGACTAAGCATATTTATCCCAGATCCATAACGAATCCCACGGAAAACACAGGGATAGGGCAGGACAGCTGTGTGTAGAGAACGCACGCGGAAACCGGACAGGCGCTACACAGCTAAAATGCAACGCCGACAACAGAACGTTTTGTGCAATACCTGGTTGCCATGCAGGTCCAGCACGTCAAGGTTCACGAGGGCCTCCAGGTTGCAGATCTTCTGTATTCTAAGGGGGGGGGGAACGAGTATCAGTGAATCATTTTCATTGAGGGGGGGACTGTTCCCTTTTCCCGCCTCCCCCTCCACCGTCCCAAACTTTAATCGATTATCAGTTTTTATGAAGTGCAACGAAGAGAGGATCCCATCTAGGCGGCTGGATCTAGGCCTCCAGCCGCACAGGACCCTGGCGATGGTATTGTGCATGTCACGTAGCCCTTCTGAGAGCCGGTTCGATCTAGTGGTTAAGTGCGCGGACTCTAATCTGGGAGAACCGGGTCTGATTCCCCACTCCTCCTCCACTTGCCCCTGCTGGATGACCTTGGGCAAGCCGTAGCTCTGATAACAGCTGTCCTTGAAAAAGAGCAGTTCTCTCAGAGCTCTCTCAGCCCCACCTACCTCACAGGGTGTCTGTTGTGGGGAGAGGAAGGGAAAGGAGTTTGTAAGCCGCTCTGAGACACCTTCGGGTAGTGAAGGGCGGGGTATAAATCCAATCTCCTCCTCCTCCTTCTTCTCCCTAGCGTGTTTTTCTTAACAGGACTATCTCTAGCAGGCCTTCGAAGACAATGGGTTTAACGAGGGGGTCTCTCTGCTTAAGATGAAACTATTTAGAAGTACTTCAGGCTTTTTCTTCCCCTGTTACCTGTTGTTTCCCAAAAGAAGGACTCGGAGGGACTTCAGTGTAGAAAGGCCGCTTATTTCATCTATCTGATTATCGTACAAGTCTAAGAATATGAGATGCTGCAAATTAGAGATGTTCTGGATCCGAGTTATATAGTTGTGCTGGAAATTTAGCAAGCGAAGGTGTTCTTCTCCGTCAATTATCGGGCAAACCGTCAGTTTCTGCCTAAAACGAAAACGACAAAGCAAAATTCGTAACCTTGATCGGGTGGAAAGGTGGCATGAAAATGTTTTAATTAATAAAATAAGAAGCTCAGACAATGGAAAAGAACATAAGAACATCAGAAGAGCCCTGCTGAATCAGACCAATTGTCCACCTAGTCCAGCATCCTGTCTCTCACAGTGGCCAACCAGTTCCTCTGGAGATCCAACAACAATGCATAGAGGCCAAGGCATCCCTCTGATAAGAACATCAGAAGAGCCCTGCTGGATCAGACCAATGGTCCATCTAGTCCAGCATCCTGTCTCATACAGTGGCTAACCGGTTCTCTCTCGACGGCCAACAACAGGGCATAGAGGCCGAGGCCTTCCGCTGATGTTGCCTCCTGGCTCTGGGATTCAGAGAATTAGTGCTTCCAAATGTGGAGGTTCCCCTCAGCAACCATGGCTAGTAGCCACTGATAGACTTATCCTCCATGAAAGCTGTTTATTCCTGTGGCCATCACTACATCCTTTGGCAGCAAATTTCACATGTGAATCACTCTCTCTGTAAATTAGTATTTCCTTTTGTTCTTATTGAACCTACTGCCAAATCAGAAAGACAATTACTGCCAAACAGGCCAACACAGAGACCACAGCCAGTTTTGCCCTCAGACGCAATCGGGTTTCTTCTCCGCAAGACGCCACAAAACGATGCAGCATGATTTCCCCATGATGTTCAGCTAGCCTCAGAGTGAACATTTGCAGCAATACAGGAACTCAGCCCAGGGACTTCGCTTCCGGGCTTGCCGTTAGGGCATCTGACCAGCCACTGTTGGAAGCTTGGTCTGATCCGACATGGCTACCCTTACATTCTTATGTCAGGTCACCCACAACGCAATGCTGGCAAAACAAGTGACCTTCCCCGCTAACGGCATGACGAGCGATCTGAACCAGACTTTCACAACATTGATATTATTTTATTACACGTGTAACAGGTTGGAAATGTGCTTAGGGCCTAGCGTACTCATCTCTCTGTGTACGTCTAAAGTTCAAAATAAAAAGGTTCAACAGAAGGTTAGAAACAGAAGTGAATCACAAGACACACAAAACTCTTCCAGCCCAATTCTGCTAACTCATAAGAACATCAGAGACGCCAATGTTGGATCAGGCCAATGGCCCATCCAGTCCAACACTCTGTCATGCAGTGGCCAAACCCCAGAGGTCATCAGGAGGTCCAGCAGTGGGGCCAAGAGTAGAGATGTGAAGGCCTGGGGAGAAAATGGAAAAATCTGGGGGGAAACCCGTTTTTTCCCCCCATTTTTTTCCTGAAGCCTTTTTGGGTTTTTTCTGAAAAATTGAAAAAAGAAAAGGAAAAAAATTGATTATGGAACATTTTATTTTAACATGATGAACAAAATACTTTAAGACAAGGTGTTCAAAAATTTTCCAAATCATTTCTAAAAAATATGTATGGTATCAGATTGATCATAGGTTACAAACTGAACTCTCCAATGCAAGAACAAGATGCATTTCTTCCTTTAGGAGGTGCTATTGTCACAAGAAAAGAAAAAGGTTTCAGTGGATGGGTATTCTGTTTGTAATAATTGTTTGGATACACTATATTTTTAATATGCTAGTTGTGATAATTTCATGCCAAGTAAAAACGTCCATAGTCATATTTTACGTTCCTAAAGTAACAGAATAACTTTCAATCTGGAAAAGGAAAAAAAGTGCCAATGTAGCATTTTTTTTCAATTTTTCCAAAAATTTCCATTTTTTTCTGGAAAAAAAACAGGGAAAAAATGGTTTTTTTCCAAGCTTCAAAATTTCCAGAAATGTTACATCTCTAGCCAGGACAGTAGAAGCCCTCCCACTGTTGCCCCTCCAAGCACCAAGAATACAGAGCATCCCTTGCCCCAGACATAAGAACATAAGAGAAGCCAATGCTGGATCAGGCCAATGGCCCATCCAGTCCAACACTCTGTGTCACACAGTGGCCAAAAATACCAGGTGCCATCAGGAGGTCCAGCATTGGGGCCAGGACCCTAGAAGCCCTCCCACTGTGTTTCCAGCACAACTCAGATTGACAAATCGCTGACCAAGGTCTTCCTGGACAGACTGAAAAAAACACAACGGACATGTTGTACCCTTACCTTTCAAGGGTCAGCCTATCAGAGTGCCGTATTTTCTCTTCTACGGTACGGTGCAACAAGGGGAAAGCGGCATTCCCACAATTTATATTATCTAAGAGGGAAAAGAACGTTTTCAAGATTAACAGCAAAGTAGGTTGTACGAACAAGGAATCTGGGCATCTAATAACGCACATAAGCCTCATTAGTTCTACCAATGCATATGACTCAACTCACACCTGAGTTACTCTGACGGGGGGGGGGGGACTGATCAGACCCTCAACTTTGAGCACGTTTACCGGGAAGCATTGCCAATTGATGCATACCTGGAGAAAACACCGACCTCCTCATTGGCTCTGAACTGGTTTGGATCCCCCAAGAAAGAGAACTCATGGATACAGAGGGAAAGATCAACTGTCTGTGCTAGGGGAAAGGGAGAGGACTGTGTAGTGCCTTGTGTAGTGGTTAGACCGCTGAACTAGGACTGGGAAGTCTTGAGTTCAAATCCCCAGGAAATCCACCAGCTGACCTTACAGCACTGACAAGTCCCACAGTCAACTGTACCTCAGAGAAGAAGAAGGAGAAGGAGGAGGAGGAGAAGAGGAGGAGGAGGAGGAAGAAGAGGAAGAGGAAGAAGGAGGAGGAAGAAGAGGAAGAGGAAGAAGGAGGAGGAGATTGGATTAATACCCCGCCCTTCACTCAGAGAGCAGCTTACAGTCTCCTTTCCCTTCCCCTCCCCACAACAGACACCTTGCGAGGTAGGCGGGCCTGAGAGAGCTCTTTCCAGAACTGCCCTTGAGAGAAAAGCACTTGTCAGAACTATGGCAAATCAAACCCGGTTCTCCCAGATTAGAGTCCGCGCACTTAACCACTACACCAAAATGGTTGCTGGAAGGATAAAAGGAACGGCTAGGGAATGACATACGCAACTCTGAGATTCCTGAAGGGAGGGAGGGATGAAAATTGGACATCCAGATACAATTGGCTTTAGTTGCCCGTCTCAAAGCTTTGAAGCGGGCAGGAAGCCCAATATGTGTTTTGTTTACTTAATTCTACTCCAGAGAGAAGGCCAACGAAGACGAAGAGGAAAGATCTAAGATGGGGTCCCCAATATGGTGCCCAGGGGCATTAAGGTGCCCACCCTAACCCTAACCCTTTCCTGGCGCCCGCCAAGTGCTTTTAGAAAGTGGGTGGGGCTAGGTGGGGCTTTTGCCCAGCAGGGCTTCTGATTGGCCGTGCAGATTAGAAGGCATCCTATCAAATAGAGCTTCTGCCCGAAATGTTGGAGAGGTACTATTACTGTTATATATAACCTCTCTCCCTGACATTTTGTGCTCGGCTCCGCCTCCTGAGGCAGCCGTTTTGTGACTACGCCCACTGCCCAGTGTTAGAACCACAAAGGTGCCCAGCCAATGCTCCCTCTAAGCTGTGGAGTCTTGTGAGCAAAAATTCTATTTTGTGAGCTGCTGGCATTCAAGTTGGGAGCGAGCGATTTGGCTACTGCATAGATCAGTTTGCTCTGGAGCCATTCTTCCTGAACAAAGGCAAAAACGTGTGAGCCGGAGGCTAAAAAACTGTGAGCTACCTCACACTAACTCAGCTTAGAGGGAACACTGGACTGCCCAGGGACTCAAGAAGGTTGGGGATCCCTGACCTAGGGGAAAATTCTACACCCTTCCAGCAGAGGGGTGGAAACATTCTGCACACCTGGGGCATGAGCCCCCATACCCAATTACCCGTGCTGGCTACAGCATAATTTCTTTTCGGTGTTGACCAATGCTCCCTCTATGCTGTGGAGTCTTGTGAGCAAAAATCCTACTTTGTGAGCTCCTGGCATTAAAGTTGTGAGCGAGCGATTGGGCTGCTGCATCAATTAAGTTTGCTCTGGAGCCGTCCTTCCCTGAGCTAAGACAGAAATCTGTGAACTGGAGGCTAAAAAACTGTGAGCCAGCTCACACTAACTCAGCTTAGAGGGAACACTGGTGTGGACCAAGATTGAATGAAACGTTTTCACAATTCCATGTGCGAGCAAAAGTTCAGCATAAATCTAGACTTGCAGGGATAGGGGAGCGATATCCTGTATGTTCTCTGTTCAATGGAAGTTTGAAAGCAAACACTTGGCCCCAATTGATCGTTCAATCCAAAGCGTTTAGTGTCACATACCTGAGACGGTGGAGCCGGCGCTGTGGCAGCCGTGCTGGATCCTGTATTTTGAAGGGGTCGTAAAAGACCCGTCGCCGAAAGGGGACACGGAACCCGAGCCATGCTTCAAATCCAGACTAGGGATGTCTCCCAAGTTAGTAGTCACGGGGACATACACTTTTCTAGTGCGTGATATAGGACTTAATCTTCCATCTGTTGGAGAAGAGGGGGGGCGGGAGAATCAGAATTATCAATACAAGCTAAATCAAGCAGAAAGATCTCTCCCTAGATAAGCCATTTCATTCACTGCTCACTGCTACACTTCCTACAGTTTCATCTACTGGGTACACACGCTCTTCTGAAGAAGAATATCGGGAGACAACTAAATCAACTAGCCGATGATGATGATAGGCGCTCAACTTGCATGGAGCCTTATAAAATAACATGTCAAAAAGGGGGCGGGGTTGTCCCTCAACATCTTACCTTACCATTGCATTAAAGGAAGAAAACAAAGGAAAGAGACAAAATGTAACAATAACATACAGTAAATGCCGCTATTAATTATGAAGAGGAAGAAGAAGAAAAAGAGGAGGAGGAGGAAGAGGAGATAGGATTCATACCCCACCCTTCAGTACCCAAAGGAGTCTCAGAGCGGCTTACAATCTCCTTTCCCTCCCCCTCCCCACAACAAAAACCCTGAGGTAGGTGGGGCTGAGAGAGCTCTTTCGAGGACTGCTCTTGAGAGAACACCTCTGAGAAAACTTGTGACTGACCCAAGGTCACACAAGCAGCTGCATGTGGAGGAGTGGGGAATCAAACCCGGTTCTGCCAAATTAGAGTCCACGCTCCAAACCAATACATCAAACTGGAAATGCAGGGAGTTGAGTTTAGAGGCCAACTATTTGCAAACTGGCATGGAGCCTCTAAAGCCTAGAGTACTCTCTCAATCCCACCCCCCCAAAAAAGCAGAGGCCCTGCTGAGACACTTCCCATCACACATGAAAGAATAAAAATGTTTATCCACGCTTCATGCGAGATGTGATTAGTCTGGGAAACAGCCGCTTACCCCGAAGATGTGTTTAAATGTCTTAAAGACCTACAAAGCCTTAAGCATGCCTGAACAACGCCTTAGGGATTAAGGATCCCCGATTCATCTCCACGGGTGTCTGACAATCCAAATGTGTCAGCTGCTCTTCCGCATACTTGCTCTGGGAAACCCTAAACTTGGGTCCCCAACGTGGCGCCCACCAACATCTTTCCTTGTGCCCACCGGCTGTTTCCAGAAAGGGGGAGGTTGCCCAGCAAGTCTTCTGATTGGCCACTGGAGATTTATTTTATTTATTTATAATTTCAATTTATAGCCTGCCCTCCCCGCAACGCGGGCTCAGGGCGGCTCACAAATAGGCATACGGCAACACATAAAAACAGTTAAAACTGGAGAGCCAGTTTGGTGTAGTGGTTAAGTGTGCGGACTCTAATCTGGGAGAACCGGGTTTGATTCCCCACTCCTCCACTTGCAGCTGATGGAATGACCCTGGGGCAGTCACAAGCCATCGTTCTGATAAGAGCCGTTCTTGAAAAAGAGCAGTTTCTGTCAGAGCTCTCTCAGCCCCACCTACCTCACAGGGTGTCTGTCATGGGGAGGGGAAGGGAAAGGAGTTTGTGAGCCGCTCTGAGACTCCTTTGGGTAGTGAAGGGCGGGGTATCAATCCAATCTCTTCTTCTTCTTCTTCTTCTTCTTCTTCTTCTTCTTCTTCTAAAAACCATTATCACAGAGTTACAACATATTAAGTGCTCTAGATGTTCCAAACAAAATCTATCATCAAGATGGCGTGTCTAAGAGGGTACATCCAATCAGTGCTATCAGTTCCACGTGGCACTGTTGTTCTCTCTTCCCAGGGCCAGTTAAAAATGATGGTACGATAGTGGCGGCTCCTACCCGAAGGCCTGGCGGAAGAGCTCCGTCTTACACACCCTGCAAAACTGTGCCAGTGATTGGTGGTGCAGATCTTTTTTTAAAAAAAACTGCTTTGGCGGTCGGCGCCGCCACAGCACAAGGGTCTTTGCGGTGTGGCTGAAGGTAAGCTGCGGCAGCCGTTTTGCGGCTATGCCCACCATCTCGTATCAGAATCCCAAAGATGCCCACAGGCTCAAAAAGATTAGGGATTCCTGCCCTGAACTCTATTGCACCCACAGCTCGACCCACTACAAAAACTGCAGAGTCATCCTGAACCTACGGGACTTTCCCATCTAAAGGATACTATCAGTTCGAACCCTAAACAGAGTTATACCTTCCTCTGTCCACTGAATTCAAATGGGCTTAGAAAGCTGTAATTCTCCTTAGGATTGTACAGGGGTCATTTTGCAGAAAAAGAGGTGCAGGAGTTCATTAGCATAACTTATTTGCATATGCCACACCCCCTGACATCACCGAAAGTGTGTCAGCAG